ACTTCCTTGGCTGTCCAGAAAGTACATTTCATAATCAGAAGAAATTATTACAGATGAAACAAAGTATGTCATCCTAGAGGACAGGAGTGGCATCTGTGGACCTAGATTCAGTATACTCAGTTGTAGTGTAGGAGGCAGCATCAGATGCAATCAAAGCAATCATGCTACAATTGCAGTTTGAGGTAGTGCAAGTATGAAGGCCAGTATTTTGAACAAAAGGACAGTGCATCAGCTGCATTTTAATGGGCTTGCACTTTTTTTGCAGAAAGCGATGTATGGCATTCACATAACTCACTGCCAAAGCCTAGTCAGACACCAGCAGCAACCTGGGAAGGTGACAGGCATAAAATCTCCTACTCAATAGGACCCTGACAGAGGTAGAAATGCAATTTTATGTGAAACCAAGCTAATTGGTCACAATTAGCTTCAGATGCCTCCCTTATAGTTATTAAATTCAGGCCAGAGTCCAGAAGCCCAGTCCTGAGGATGAGTTTGTCTGGCAAAATAAAAGAAGCAGGAGATCAAAAGGAAGGACATTTGAGGGTTTGGGTTTCAAGCTCATGTGTATATGTGCATCATCCTCTATCCATCTACTGCTTAGCTGCATTTTCTGGGAATTGCTAAGATTAATGTTATAAAAATTAAATATTCAGAGCAATCAGTTGTTTAAAACCAGATGTGTTTTGTCAGATTAACATCTATATATATGCTTACTGGATGTTCTTATTGCGTGTAATTATTGTGGGGTAAACCATACAGTAAATTCTGTAACATCCGTAATCTGTGGGACTTTTGTCTAAACATTTTATTAATGTACTATAAGGCAAGATGTAAATCATGTATATCTTTTGTGTCATTTAGTCATGACGCATTCTGAATACTCCCTTCCAAGGACACACACTGAATTTACGTTCTCAGGCAGTAAGATTTATTCCTGTACATCCAGGTCTGGAAGGTGAGCATGGTAAAGAAAGTCAAGTAAACTTTTCTGATAAAGCCTGTGACAAGGAAACTAGGAATTTAGGGAGAGCAGGGAACATATCCCGTGGTTATGTACAATTCTTTTTCAGCATTGTAAGGAAGAACAAATAAACCAGAGCAGGGAAGAGGCTGAGCCCTGTTTGGATTCAGCTAGCAGAAATTAGAACTCATGTCTCTGTGTCCTGGTTTTGGCTGGGATACACAGCTGATGTTTTCATTCTTGCTAAGTCATGCTCACCTTAAGTCAAGGAGTTTTCAATTTCCTGTGCTTTGCCACTGAGAAGGGACATATAGCCATGACAAACTAGCCAAAGGGATATTCCATAACACAGAACGTCATGTTCAGTATATAAACTGGGAAGAGTTGACAGGAGCCACTGATCACTGCTCAGGGACAGGTAAAATTGTGTTGGGCATCACCTGTGTTTCCTGAATTTCATTCCTCTTTCTCTCTTCTTCCTATTATTATTTTGTTATTTATTTTATTATTATATTGGACTTTATTTCAAGTCTTAAACTCAATTTGCAGGTTTTAACTTCTTACTATTCTCCACCCCAACCCACAGCAGGGTGGGATGAGCAAACGACTGTGTGGTACTTAGTTGCTCGCTGTGGTTAAACCATGGCAGTCCTTTCTAACAGCCAAGCTGGGGCATGAAGGCTTGAGATAACAAGAGATCTGAGTAGAGTGTGTTAAAACAATTTTGTTATAAGCTTTCATTTTATTGGTGTGATATTCATTGGTCAGAATGTTGATTTGCTCACTCTCAGAGTTCATGACATGTGCTCACAGGCACGATATGTAATACTGTTCCCTGGTATTATGTAGACTTATAGAGACAAATACAGTCCACCTGAGCAAGTTTAGAAATGACAGCAGCATCCCCCTTGCCACAGAAGCAGTCACTGTTACAGCTTCCAGCTGCCCAGGGTGGCTGGGGAGTGGTCCACTCCTTTGAAAAGGATGGTGTCTGCAGGTCTTTACCATACACTGAGCTTACCTTCTCATAAAAAACTTTTAGGAGAAATACAGAACACGATCTATTCCTATTGAGTCATGCTTGGTGACCAGAAGCGCCGAGATTAAAGGAAATGGTCCCCTGGCAGGTGATCTGATGGCCAGGATTTCCCATAAAAAATGTCCTTTACATGTAGGACATTCTTAAAGATCTACAGATGTAAAGACTGGAATTATCTAGGCTTTGAGGGGAGGTAAGTGATATAACAGTTAAACTTCTAAAAGACAAGATGGAAAACTCCAGATCTTCACTGAATTTTGTCTGATTTATGCCATCATTTTTAGTGATTATAGTTTGAAGTAGAACTGCATTTTCATTTAGTGAGGTGTTTAATATTTAATGTTGGCTTTCCAATGTTATATACTTTATAACAGTAGAAAGTAAAAATTAATTTAATCTAATATCATTTGAGTCTGGAAAAATGCTAGAAGGATCATATTAGAACTATAATAACAGTGGAAAGACCATTTCTGGAAGACTGAAATGCGGTTTTATGTCTAAGACTGTTTTCAGGAGCTCATGCTGAAAAAGCCGCCTAGGTAGGGAAAAAAAAACCAACAAAAATAATTTCAAGTGGAAAATGAACCAATAAATATTCCACAACCTATCTCCAGCTTTTTTCAGAGATTATGATGGCAATTAGGACAGTATATACTGTTTCTGTGATATTGTCTGTGGCTGCCAAGACTGTATGCTCAGTTGGGATATTCAGTTCTTAAAATGCATTATGTTCAAATCATGCATTCTAAAGCGGTTTTCTGTCAGAACTGCATCAAATAAAAGACATATTGCTGGCTTAAATGTAATTCAGTTCATCCTTGTTGTGTCAGGATGTTTTTTATATATGTAAAACAGGAAGAAAATGAAAAGTTTTAAAAAAAATACATTAGTCATTATGAGGTTTTTTAATATCATCAGCGTTACCATAAAGCCAGATGATAAATTGCACTCTATTCAGAAGAAATAGAATAAAATTAGTAGTGCATTACGCTAGACTAATCATAACCCTGGGTTACTGTCATTCTATAGAAAATAAAAGCTTGACTATTTTGGATTTTAAAGTTTCTTGTCAGCTTTTAAAATTATTTGTCTTAAGAGGCAAATAACAAGCATGTTCTGAAGGAAAACACAAGATTTTGGACTGGTGGGGTTAGCAAATTTGTATCATTGTTTCTAAAGGACAGCACTGATGAGTTGGAGCCAGATGGTTAGCAGTGACACTTTATAATAGTAGCCTAATGAAGCTTTTTTGGTGTTGGTGACAGGTAAATGGTTGAAAGGTTTATGGCAGAGAAAAAGCTTCAATAAATACCTTGAAAATCTGTCTCTCTTTTAGATGTATAATTATTGCTTTTTAGAATGGCATAATGGAACAGCAAAGTGTAGGTGAAGAAAAGGCTAGAAAAGAGGAACCCTCTCTGGAGGTAATAGGATGTATAGTGGGACATTTTTTTACTTCTTGTTAACTTGAATAGCTACTTAACAACCATTACATATCTCTCAGACTTACAGGGAGAATTTAAAAATCTTTTTCATATAGTTACGCCTGTCCAGATGTCAGGAGCTAAAAATATGGGAGAGAGAAGATTTTTGTCTATGCAAGTAGAGAATAAGAGTTTCAGGATATTTTAACTGGAAGAAGAAAGTTCTGGAATCTCTTGCATGAGCATTTCTCCTTAATCCTGATTACCCATGAAGAGTATGGCCAGACATCTGGTGCTTCCTTTGCAACAAGGGGGAAGTCTGATGGCTGATTGCTTCGAAGGGCAGTGATGTTTCTGATGAAACCTTTTTCATTGGAAAACCAGGTTTTCAATAAATGGAAATTTTAACAGAATTTTTTTTTTTTTTTAATTTTCTGTGAAAGAAATAGCAGACTTAAAACTTACTGAAAAAGGAGAAAATTGGCTGAAAAGAACCTCTGGAAAGATATCAGGTTTTGATCAGAAGTGCAGCAGGTTTTGTCAGCTGTTTTCAGTTTCAGTCATAGAAAATGATACAAGCGGAAAAAAAAATGTGAAGAAGAAATTGGCAGAAAGATATTTTTCATGTCAAAAGTAAAAAGAACCAACTTAGGCTGAAAATTTCAATTAAAAAAAAGGAACTATCTACTTCTGTTAACATTTTCTACTGTCAGTCTTACAGACAGATGTGATTGGGAAATTGGTGTTAGTTTTCTTGTGGGTAGATGGAGTTGGTGTGTCTTTTGCTCCCCTGCAGCACCACTGAATGCTTAGTTGAAGCTGGTAGCATGAAGGGGTCACATAGCAGGACTCCTAGATTTTTAGATGCAACCTGCCTCCAGCTTCTACTGGAAGAATGACCCTCAAAAGTGTTGGCTGACACTGGATTTTTGCAGTTTCACACTGTGGCTGGTAAAACAACAAGAGAAATCAAAGCATTTACAATTAAAGCCTATGGCATGTACACACAAACAATAAAATAGATGTCAAAGGGGAAGCCATTGAGGGAAGATCCATAAATCTGGTAACTATAAGCATTGTTGAAAGCACACAGACAATGTAAATGGTCCAGAAAAGGTACAAAAATAGTGTGATGGGATCAAACAAAAGAATTCTACACACAGGTTATTTAGATTGAATGCTATTATGCAAATAAAGCATTTCATTGCAAAGCAGTTAAGATACATTTATCACTGCTAAAGTAGAAATTATTCAGCAGTTGTTTGCATAGCATTATTAAAGGGAAGTATACCTCAGACTCAACAGCTCTTGCTTAATTCAGTGTGGTAATTTTGGGCCATGCAGTCTAAAAGATCATTGCAGAGTCCTGATTGTCCACTGATGCAGGTACATAAATTTTCTTGCAGCCCTCTAAAGTTTAAGGTGGGAAAGTCTGATGGATATTGGTATTTGATTGATTTGTGAAAGAGTCAAGTCATACTCTTCCCTCTTTTCCCCTGTTGTCTTGGCTTCCTTTTGAGGTTCTGCTGGAAGAAATTCTGTGCCTTCATACTAAAGTGAACGTTTCATTTCTCAGTTTCTACAGATCAAGTGATGAGATATCTCATGTGAACCCCCTGAAGACTGAGAAGAGAAACTGACTTCCCCACAGAAAATTGTGAACTGCGGTTTCTTACTGGCTAGCAACACCTTTGATTCAATTTGTATGAAAACTCAATTTACTTATTAAAATGGACGTTATTGTTCAAATATTAGAAACTCCATTTCTTATATGTTCTAAGCTGTACAATTGTCAGATTTTTATGGTTTAGATTGTAAATGTGTTTTTTCTCTGGCTAATTATTGGTATTATTTTTTTAATTTTGATGTCTTAAAGGCCAATGTACTGTATCATAATAATATGGACATATTTAACAGGTGTGGGAAACACTGTATACAAATGTATATTTCTAAAAGCTATTTTTATGATTAGCATGTTTTACTGTTCTACCATATTTAGAGTCAGGTGATATTGCACTTCTTTGTTTACAGATTAATTCAAACAAGACCATTATGATCAGTGTCACAATTTAATACATTATATGGTATTTTCCATTATTTTATTTATTATATGTGTCATTGGAAATAATTATGTTTACTAATAGGGATAGCTGCTAAAAAGTGAAAAAGTCAAAATAAGAGAGCAATCCTTGATAAACTGTAAATTGAATCCTCCTGTAAATCCCTTTCTCCAGATAAGCACTCTCTGTGATGCCATTCATCAGACAGTTGTTACAGCTGCTCCTGCAAGTCTTTTAGGCCAGTTTGTTGCTACCTTATGTTTACATGAAAGTCAGTCTCCTGTCTAGCCAGGTAAATTAATTATAGACAGCCAATATCTATCAGCCTGAGTTAGCCTACTGATTACTTTTGGGGTTGTTTTCTGGCAGTCGTATTTGCACTCCCAGACCTCTAACACCCTCCTAAAAGCCTGCAGCTGGGATAATTATTACAGATGTAGGGGGAATCTCAGTATAGAATTTCTTAATAAATCATATTTCCTTTCAAACAGAATGGATGCATTATTTCTCTTGTGTTACTGAGATATTAAGGGTATCAAAGCATATATGATATTAGCATAAAATTGTCTTCTTTTAATGAAAGTACCCATTTGTTCACCATCCTAAAGCTAGACCTCCTTAGCACTGCAGATGACAGAAATCAAGGAATAGATGTTTATTTACCTATATATTTACATGAGATATACTCCTATAAAAAGAGACGTTTCTTTAAAATTGATTGCAGGAGAAAAAATTTATTTAATAGCTACAGCCTTCAAAGATGGAGAGGTGTTAATTTAAAAAGTACCTTAAGCAGTCAAATGGAACTCAGACCCAGCTGTCTGCCAGGCAGAGCTCCTGCGTCCACTGAAATCTGTGACCTCAAGCACCATGAGGATGAACCCTTGCCTTGCCCTTTCAATCATTCTCTGTAGGCTGAAAGCAAGAGAAAAATAAAGGTACCAGAGGGACTTTTTAATAGATCAGACTTTCAATTTCTATAAAAAACAGTAGTTTCTGAGATGATAGGTTCACCTCAAACAGTGGGTGCATGAGGAGGTGGAAGCTCAAGGTCTCCAATCAGGTTTCTAGCATGGGGACCACCATCAAAGAAAGGTCAATATTCTTCACATATTTGGAAGAAAAGCATGTATTTGAATTTAATTTTCTATTACTGAGTGGGAATTTTCTTCAGTAGATTATGTAACATAGCCCTCACACTTCTGTTTGTGTATTTATATTTAGCTTGTCTATTGTGTGTGGAGTTACATGGTTTACCTAAGTGCTGAGTAATACCTAATTACTTAATTAAGAAAAGACCAGAATAAGTAGCTATGCCTGAGCTTAAAAATTCACAGCTTCAGAATCCATCAACACCGACTCTCCCAGAAAATTACAGCAAAAAATATGACTTTTGTTTAAGTGAAATGTTAGGTCAAATCAAAGGGTGAAATATTTTTCCACTATCTGTATATTAATATAGTTTATGATCATTTCTAACTGAAAAAAATGTAAAAGAAATTGCCATTTGGGGATCTCCATCTTTGGCTGACAGTTAAAAAAAAAAGATCTCCAAACCTTAGCAGCTCAACAGGCATTTTGCCCATTTCAATTATGTAAATTGTTGGCTGACTTAAAAGATGAAGAATGTCATCCAAGGAGATCAGTTCTGATGTTGATGTTATTAAACCACATATAAGAAACAGCTAGGTGTTTTCATCTTTTCAGAACCTCCATTCCAAATGAGCTACTAATCACAAAAGAGCACTCTATTAGATTTTCACAAATTCTTTCCAATCATTACCCTTAGATTATATACTCAAAGAAATGATTGCACCATCATGATGTTAACACTGTTTCACATGACAGTTTAAGTCCTGAATATATTTTGAATGCAAAAGACACCTCTGATAAGACCCTGAGGCACTACTTCATTTGCAAGCCAAAAGGTTGTTGTGCCATGCAGTCAATTACTAACAAGGTTTCTTAATGGCATGTTTGCTTCGAATCACTACAGAGGATGCTGGTAGCTTCAACAAAGCTTGATAGTTCTCTACTTTTCATGTATGCAGTATGCTCGGTGTTGTTTGCCATTACTACCTATACTTGTTTTACATGGGTTTTGTCAGTTGTGAGGTTTCTTAATGTTGCTCATCCCTTGCAATATTAAAGAGTGGGAAACATAAAGGATCTTATCAATCGGTTTGGGTAGTCAACAGTCTTATAAAATCCTTTATGGACAGTTCTGAATTAAACCAACTCACTTTCTACACAGGCCTATATGCTCTGTTCAGATATTTGTTTCAAACCTGTGCAGCTGCATGAATGGAAAATATTTGCTAAAAAGCTTTAAAGTTTGGATCAAGAAATATTTTTACTTTTGTAACTCTTGTATGACATGCTGTGGTTCTTATTATTTTTCTCTGTAGATCCATTTTTAGTTCTGAAAAATTATTGTATTTAATATATGTAGATAGCTACAATCTTGTAAGCAGTCATATTTTTAATAGGTGCCACTGCAAGTTAGAATTAAAACAGTCAGGGTTTGCCCATGTAGATCAGATTGTTGGCTCATTACAGTTTTCTTTAAAATATTGTAACATAATTTTTACATGTCTGTAAATAAATATTTTCTCTGATTTATGCACTAATTCAGTTTTGTAATTTTTTCTGTTAAAGTGTGACTTTAAAAAGCTTTCCAGGAAAAATGCTCTTCTCTCATGGAAAAATACCATCTAAAGCTCTGCAATACAACCGTGCTTCACAAATTTTCCAAGCAGAACAAACAGAAACAGCAATCCATAATATGAATACTTATCTTGAGTAAGCAAGATGGAGAAAAATATGGTAAATCTTGCTATTATCTTAACAGTTTGAGATATTTCAGGACCAGTCATGTGTTAAAAGATGACTGAGAAGAAATGTGACAAACTTCATGAAAAGAGGGGATTCTTCAGTGGGGTGTGAGAGAGAGGATCTCAGTGGTGATATTTCGTCAAATTTGAGGAATGAATTTTCTTGATCTTGGAAGTTTCTAAGTTTCAGGTATCACTAAGGCAGTATGAACATAAGTTATGAATTGTTATTGTTTTTGGTATTCAAATACATTTTTTTATTCATAGTTTATTATTGCATTCACAAGGTGCTACTATACAAACAAACTAAGGCAAATTGGCCCACAAAGTCTACGAGAATGTGTTAAAATTATATTTGTATAATATAATATGCCAATATTACATTGGGAAGCAAGCCTACTTTGAAATGTGTGTGTGGTACATAATTTTCTACAATTTTTGTGTGTTGTCATTATTACAGCTATATCAGATTTTGCACAAGTTTGTGAAATTTAGGTACAACTTACTTATATGCACGATTCAGGGCTAATTTCTTACCCAAAAAGAACCCTGTTACAGATTAAACAGTAGCCAATTAAAATAGTTTCTAATTCTTTTTTAGTAGAGAAGGTAGTCTGAGAACATCAAAAATTTCCAATCTCCATGTTCAGAAGAATCCTCACTACTCTAGGAAATTTAAATAAGGAATATATCTGATATGAGAAGAAAAGGTTAACAAAGTAAGATAATTTCATTTACTTTACTTTTGTCAAGATCTTGCATAATAAATATTCTAAAAAAAATCACTTTGATAATCTGAAATTCTGTATTGGATCATACTGGGCATGAGGGAAATTATTACTGAAATAAAGGCATCAGTCAGCCAAGAATAAGCAGGAAGTGCATCCTGCAGTCTTAGATGGATAAAACATCAAATAATTGAACACGTTATGGGCAAAGGAGTAATATATTACAAATTTTTTTGGAACAGAGAAGTTCTTAACCCTTTGCATTATGAATAAGAAAGTATAGAAAATATAATTAATGCAATTAAGTTCTAGTCAAGATTATACTGCAATATTTTTTATTTGATCATATGAAGATCCATGCCCCAGTGTGATGGGGAGGAGAACTGGAAAAAAGATAAAAAATGTATAGGTTGAGATAAGAGCAGTTTAATGATTGAAAAAAAAAGTAAATAATAATAATAATGGTGATAACAAGTGAGATAACAAAGAGAGACAGAAAATTAAAAAAAAAAAAATTGCTCACCACCGCCAACTGATACCCAGCCCGATCCAAGCAGCAATCTGGGACTTCCAGGTAACTCCCTCCCGTTTATATACCGGGCATGACGTGCTGTAGTATGGAATACCCCTTTGGCTAGTTTGGGTCAGGTGTCCTGTCTCTGCTTCCTCGCAGCTCCCTGTGCCCCTACTCACTGACAAAACATCAGAGACTGAAAAGTCCTTGACTTAGAGTAAGCACTGCTTTGCAACAGCTAAAGCATTAGTGTGTTATCAGCACTGTTCCCAGACTAAAGCCAAAACACAGCCCTGCACCAGCTACTGGGAAGAAAATGAACTCTATCCCAGCTGAAACCAGGACATATGGTCAGGCTCCCATACAAGAGGAAGGGCAGTATGTGTGCACACAAAAACAGTTGGACAACCTGAACTATAAGAAAAGATATTTCTTTTGGCCAGCAGCTGCCAGTCTTAACAGCCAGCAAAGGACAGCCCTAACTTCAGATAGTCTATTCCTAGAGAAAGGAGAGTATGACTACAGATGCAAGAATGATTTTGTACACTAACTAAAACCAACACAACTTGACATGTTGGTACTGTAGCTGTGAGCATTCCTCACCAATGAAATGTTGTGGCCATGAGAATGAGAGAGAGAAAGAGAGAAAGTGAAGGCAGCTGTGTACAGCATTTCCAGCCCTATTCTGGTGATCCATGCCCTTACAACAACCAGTTCTGGAAAACTGGTAAGCAAATCCTCTGAGAAACTGCCTAGGAAAATTGCAGTGCTACTACAAAATAAATAGTTGTTAGGGTTTGGATGGTGGGGTTATTAACTCATTTGACAAAAAAAAAAAAGCTAAAAGTTTTTCACTGATACGTATTTTTGGGGTTGCTTTAGTAAGTACTTATTTGATTAACCTCTTAAAGAAAGATTGCTGCTCCACACTTGTGCGAACAGAATTAATCCACAACTATCACAGTGTATTTGAACAGAAAACCTAGTTCCCATATCATCCATCCCATATTAATCCAACTAACCAAGCAAAATTGTTTCTAAAGGTTTCATTAAATCTTTCTGATACTATCCTGGGTACATATATTTAACAGTCTAAAGTAATGGAGAATAAGCTTTGCATGACCACTCTGTGGTGTATTACTGTATGTGAATATATCTATGATGTGTAGCTATGCATATATGGAAAAAAAAATACTTCCATTGCTTTGTGTTTTAGATAATTGGAAATGTTTCTCCTCAACTAGAGACAACTAATGTGGGAAATAAGAACCAAACACATCCCTGGGGTAACTCTGCTGATATAAGTCATTAAATGAATATCTCTGGTGTCTACTCTAGCTGGATTCTTCAGCAGAAACTGTGATCAGTGTTCACCCTATGAGGAGTAACAGCAGCATTTATCATGTTACTTAAATTAAAAAGGATTTATAAGTCATATTGCTGTTGCTAGTATTGCTGCTGCAGCGGGAACATGGTGGATCACAGTGGAGGGAGGTTATAAAACTTGGCGGGACTGCAACTTAACAGAGCACTGAAACTTGAATGGGCATTGAAAGGATCTTACCTGGGGAGGCATACTCAACAGAAGAACCCAAGCAGATGTTAGGTATCCAGCAGCTTCCTCAAAGAGCAGTTGTCAAAGGTGTCTTTTTATAGGGGACAAGATCAAGCTTTTTACCCTTCACCTTCATCCTCCTTTTGTGTGCGCTTTGTCTCATCTGTTAAATGACAAGGTTTTTCAGAGAAGAGAAATGAAGGGAAGTGGCATCTTTCTT